TCTCAAATTTGTTCATTTGTAATGATATCGTCAATTCTCTGATTTGGGTGAACTTTTTTGTAATTTTTGGTAAAAAGTGATATTTTCGACTTCTTGTTAAAAATCGCAGGTCCAATTGCTTTGATATTACATATATAGGTACTACATGTGGACCTCTTTCAGATTTGTTCATTTTGTAATGATATCTTTAATTCTCTAATTTTGGTGAATATTTTTGCCATTTTTGGTAAAAAATGATATTTTCGACTTCTTGTTAAAAACCACAAGTCCAATTGCTTTGTTATTACATATATAGGTACTACATGTGGACCTCTCTCAGATTTGTTCATTTTGTAATGATATATTTAATTCTCTAATTTTGGTGAATATTTTTGTCATTTTTGGTAAAAAATGATATTTTCGACTTCTTGTTAAAAACCACAAGTCCAATTGCTTTGTTATTACATATATAGGTACTACATGTGGACCTCTCTCAGATTTGTTCATTTTGTAATGATATCGTAAATTCTCTAATTTTGGTGAATATTTTTGTCATTTTTGGAAAAAAGTGATATTTTTGACTTCTTGTTAAAAACGACAAGTATTTATGGTGAAAAATGATATTTTTGAATTCTTGTTGAAAACAGCAAATCCCATTGCATTGATACTATACGTATTGTTCATTTTCTAATGATATCTTCTGTTCTTTAATTGAAATGTGCATTGCTAACAGCGGAGCTATCTCAGCCGAGAGGCTGCTTGTTTGCACAAGTTATTGGCAGTAATTTGACAACCATTTAAGGCATGAGGCAGGCAAAAAAAACAAAAAAACATACATTGAAAGTTCAGAATGTTATCATAAGGTGTTCTTATGTAATGTATATTATTATATACATGTTACCGTAACGCCATAAGTTACAGCGTGCCATAATTTGGCGGTATTTTACAGGGTATTTTCATCCTACCATATTAGGAAATGCAAATTCCAAATATGGAATGATTATGCGCGTAAGCGTTCTCTAATAATAAAAGCAAACATGGCTGCCACCATGGCATTCTCATGATGTATCCTTGGAAGGAAAAAATTTATAATAATAATGTTATTACGAGAATACCCCAAAGTATGCACTCAGACAGTACATTCGTTCAATACTCCAGCTGTACTGTCTTCGTGGTGTTCTTTTTATCTCTTATGAATACATGTATACATCCCCGTTGCTTGTTTCAAATTTTAGTGAGCAATATAAGTTGGAATGCCAGAAAGCATTTATTTGTCCCTGTGCCATCATTTGTGTTCCGTGAGATAATTTCTATCTCTGTCATGTACTACATGGCTGCTGAAACAGATGTAAATTTACTCAAATAAAAGTTATGCTTTCAGTGATGCTAATGTTATATCTTGTCAGAATGAAGAAAGATGACCAGTTCAGGAGAAGTCGAGAGATCAAGAGAGACAGTAGTCGACAAATGGAAGAATGGCAAGAAGCTTTATTACATCATAGGAATAAAGTAAGATATACAAACTCATCTGTATCAGCATTTATTGACTCCCATGTGCGAAGCACAAAATTGGAGTCTTTGCGGTTAGTGTGTCTGTATGTGTGTGTGTGTGTATGTGTGTCCGTCTGTTCCACTGATATCTCAAGAACCATACATCAGTTTTTGATGAAACTTGGTGCATAGATGCACTGGGCTCTGGGCTTGGTAAAATGTCATGCATATTAATTACCTAATTTGCATGATAATAAGCTAATTTTTTGCTGTTCTATTGATATCTAAAGAACCACTTATTGGATTTTGATGAAACTTGGTACATGGATGCTCTGAACTAATGCTTGGTTTTGATTAGTTTTTGGTAAAAATTACCTAATTACTAATTACCTAATTTGCATAATGATTAGTCAATTTTCGGTTTTTACTAATAATCACATTTCAATGAAACTTAGTACATAGATGTCATAGGACACTGCACAGACCTGATAGTTTTTAAGGTAATGTCAGTGCATATTAATTACTTAATTTGCATAATTAATTAATTTTCAGCTTTTGATGTTTCAAGTAGTAAGCATTACTTGGTACATAGATACTCAAGGACTATGCAGAGATTGATTGTTTTGGGATAAATATTTGTGCATATTAATTACCTAATTTGCATAATTAGTTAATTTTCAGCTTTTCCACAGATA